TATGCAATGCATGCTCTTTTCACAATCGAGCGCGGTTACAACAAACCTTTTAATATTGTAATGTTTTTAAAATACGCCATTACATTCGTCCTTTCTTGTAAACGTTGATACGCTTTGTACCGATTCACTTGTTAATACGCGTCTTTTTTATAGGATTTATAGTATTGTCTAGGACCGACCCAATATTAGCAAATGTAAACATTTGGTAATAGCCGAACAGAGAAATGTCTATAAGTATAGAGAAAATTTCAGTCATTGGTTTATCTGGATTTAGTACATAATTCGTATTCGGTAATTATAGTAAGACTTTAGCCAAAAAAATGTAATGATCTGCCCAGGAGACAAACCCTGGATGAATGGAGCCATTCGTCGAGCTATACGTAAGCGCGATAGATTATTAAAGGCATATACTAAGTTTAAATCTTCCTTTAAGTGGGAAAAGTACCGCACTAATAGAAATCTTGTTGTCAAATTGATTCGTAAAGCTAAATTAGACTACCAACAAAAAACTAATGAACTGCTGTCTAACCCTGAAACATCGACAAGAAAGTGGTGGAACGTAGCGAAATCGTTTTACGGTTCTAAGGCTAGCTCAGCAATACCACCATTATATGAAGATAATGAGTATGTATTTGATTCTAAAGATAAAGCTGACTTGTTTAATGATTTTTTTGTTAGTCAGACTTATTTACCAACTGAGACTGCAGTACTATCTGAACTTTCTTCCAACTTAAATTCTACTTTATCAAGTATTATTGTAACTGAAGTTGAAGTTGCAAATTTAATTAGTCAATTGGATACTGCCAAAGCCTGCGGGATGGATGGAATTAGTAATAAAATTATTAAGCTTTGTAATCATGGCATTTACAAGTCTTTCACGAATTTTATAAATACATCACTTTCTCTTGGTCAGTTTCCACAATCTTGGAAATTAGCAAACGTTTTACCACTCTTTAAAAAAGATAATAAACAAATTAAATCCAATTACCGCCCCGTAGCACTTCTTTCTTGCTTAAGTAAAATTTGTGAGAAGGTGGTTTTTATAAAAGTGTATACCTTTCTTGAAAGCATTGGCTTTTTCTACCGATTTCAATCTGGTTTTCGTTCTGGTGACTCTACTGTTATGCAATTGGTTTACATAGTCAACAAAATATATGATTGTTTAGATAGAGGAAATGAGGTACGAGCTGTATTTCTAGATATATCAAAAGCACTTGATAAGGTTTGGCATGCTGGACTATTAGCAAAAATGAAAAATCTTGGTGTAGAAGGTACCTTATTAAATTGTTTTGAATCATATCTTAAAAGTCGGCAGCAACGAGTAGTTATTGAAGGCAGTAGCTCATCTTGGAAAGAAGTTAACGCAGGAGTGCCTCAAGGATCTGTTCTGGGCCCGCTTCTGTTTTTAATATATATTAATGATATTCAACATGATATTGATAGTGACTGCTTTCTTTTTGCCGATGATACTATGCCTTTGCAGGAAGTATTCTCACCACAATCTGCGGCTCACTCTTTGAATAAAGACTTAAATTCTATTTCACTGTGGTCTAGTAAATGGTTAGTCACAATGAACGCTTCCAAAACAAAGAGTATGACTTTCTCCCTGAAAAAAAACAAACCTGATCATCCTATTTTGAAGCTAAGTGAAAAGCCAATTGAAGAAGTAAGTTGCCACGAGCATTTGGGTGTCCTACTTTCCAGTAATATGTCTTGGAAAGTTCATATTGAAAAAATTCACCAAAATGCTTCAAAGACCCTTAACCTATTGAAAGGCTTTAAATTTAAATTGCCTAGATTAACCTTATAAATTTTGTATAAATCCTTGTTCGCTCTAAGATGGAATATGCTAATGTTGTTTGGGATGGGTGTACAATAGGTGAATCGGACCTGCTCGAAAGTGTTCAGTATGATGCAGCAAAATTAATTTCTGGAGCAATGAAAGGTACACACAGAGAAAGTGTGTTGATTGATTGCGGGTTGCATACGTTAAATAACCGGAGAAAAATTCAAAAGTTGTTATTATTGTACAAAATGGTTAAAGGTTTAGCTCCAAGTTATTTGTCGGATCTTTGTCCTGTTTACATAAGCCAAAGAACTACATATAGGCTTCGGACTAGGAATGATTTAAGTTTACCTTTCATTCGCACCGAGAAAGCAAAAAAATCCTTTTTGTATTCTACAATTTTTTTATGGAATAATCTTTCTGAATCCACGAGAGAATCTGCAACATTTGTTCTCTTTAAAACTGCTTTATTACGTGAACGATTTTATATACCTCCTGTCAATAGATTGGTTTATTTCGGTGACCGGTATTTTTCGGCCTTACACACAAGATTAAGACTAAACAATTGTGGTCTTAATCATTATCTTTTTTCAATGAACTGTGTTCTATCTCCATCTTGTACCTGTGGTGCACTTAGTGAAGATGTAACTCATTATTTATTATTTTGCCCTCGCTTTGCTGCTCTGCGTGCTTCAATGCTTACCTCTGTCATGCGCCTTGCTGGAAATGTAAGGAACGTTTTGAATATTTCTCAACAAGTGGACATTCTATTACATGGTTCAAGAAATCTAAGTTTTGAAGTAAATGCTGCAATTTTCTCTGAAGTACAATGGTATATTGGTAGTTCTGCACGTTTCGCATAGGATGTTTATGCAATTGCCAAGCGATCCTTTTTTGTCTGTACTTGTGGTGGTAATTGTAATGTAATATTGTAATTTATGTTTGCATGAACCCCCTCGATGAGCTCTAAGCTCTTGGGGTAAATATATCTAAATATTGTTTAAATAAAATATTAAAGATACACTGAAATGGGGCCCGATATGCTGTCTTGTTTAGTTGTTTCATATATGCAAAGGCCGTCAGGTTTTAAAGCAATTATAAAATCAATATTTAAAACAAACTTACCGTCGGCTCCCTTCTTTTAGCTGATTCTTTCGCCATTTCTTTCTTGAGGTTTACAAAATCTTGCAAAAATGAAATATATTTGCAAGAAATTTATCAATCATCAAATAAAGAAATGTTTGCTATTTCACTGTCGTCATGCAGTCGTTATAATGCAAACTTTAAATTGGACCAATCACAGTGTTTGCTATTCATGACAGTCCACCATATTTTTGAGATCAGTGAGGATGACCACCCACGGTTGGTGACCCACGCCCGCGAAATTTGATGAACTTTAGACTTCGCTAATGCTTTAGTTTCCCTGGGTGTAAATAGCCGGGGGGAATTAGTACCCTCGCACGGCACTTCCAGCCGTCGGCTCGGGGACAATGATATAGGATTTTACAACAATTCAACTCCTTATCCTAGAAGCACTACTGATAAAGCGTAATATGCCACAACTCAATAGTCTAAAGGCTTGTAAAAAACTATCATTGTTCTAAAGCCATTAGTCCATCACATTACATTGGCTTACACATGAAACCTGTAATTTCATACTTCTGCTGTGTCTGTAAATAGCTATACAATGTCTTTGGAATAAAGACGAAATATTACCAACTGTCTTTAACTCTTGTTTTTATCTTGAATATCAAGATCACAAGATGTCTATTTTCGGAATTTGTTCTATAAGTGCAAAGTGGCTCCTTGTTGCACAAAGCAACACATTGTAGTTAGGCAGCACCCCAGACTCATACAACATGGTACTGTCATGTAGTTTACCTTCCTATGGACCAGACAGGTTACCAACAAAGCCATTTGGCAAGACAATGCTTTGGAACTTGATGGCATGTACTCGCATATGGCCATTATATATCACTCGCAGGTTGTACTTTGGTCAAGCTATTCTTCGTACTGTCCCATCCACAACCCCAAAACAATTTTGCAGAGGGGTATGTCGGTGTACTGCTAGTGCATAATTGTTCAATTCCTCTGGAGCTAGAACAGGCTGGTCTTGCGATGATAGTGAGTCTCGTAGATGGTATCTATCACTTTCTTGAAAATGAGACACAACTCAGATGGACTTTGGCCAAATTGATGTGCCATATCGGTGTACATACAAGGGTAGGCCAATTTCTTCAAGACAACACATAAACCATCCATTCCACTGCAGACTGTACCTTGCTCACAGATGACTTGCTCAGGAATTTGTAAACATTTCATGAGTGATGGCAAATCGTTTTTCTGAAACCACATCTGTTTCTCCCCCTCCATCGTCCCAGGTTTCCAAATCAAACAAGTCAAATTTCCAATGCAGAAAAACCATCTTGGACCGATTGTAATCAGAGTGAGAAACAGATTCTTCGTCATCTATAATATTTTCAGCATGTGCAAAGATCAAAGCATCCCAAGCAGCTTGCAGACCACCAACTGCCATGACAACTATTTAATTTTATTAGGCATGGACTGTATGTCTTCAATAGTAAAAAAATAGGTACGCAGTGTGTACATGTTGCATGCCAGTTCTGAAACTTATGATGTGCTATGGCGCTTATAAGTTCATAACCTTTGGTACAGCTGGCGTGAAACTTAAAAGATTGATTCAACAAGTTTAATATCAATATATTTATTGAAAAATAGCTTTTATGTCAAAATAAGAAAACCTAAGATTCTCACATGAATAGGCAATGTTTTTTATGAGCGACCACTCATCGTTAGTTGCAAGCGACGGTAATAACAAGGTCAAGGTGGGTCAAGGTTTTATCGAAAGCTATTGACTGTTAAATTTTCTTTACAAATTTATAACTAAAAACGTTATTTCCTATAGATTTAGCTTTATTGTGTAATTTTTTAAAGGTATAAAAACCCATGGAAATGGTTAATTACTATATAGATTTAAAATGATTATTAATTAAAATGTGGTTAAACATAGATTTAAGCAAAGTTAGCGGCAGATGTATCTAGCAGCAGGGAACCCCCTGATGTCACTTAGAACAATTGCAATTCTCGCGCATCTGTCACTTTGCTACAGCTTGGCTAGCCAGCAACAACTGCTCTTTCGCTCTGTTCTAAATTTTGCTATTGCATGTTATTATTACTTGTTACTTTACTCAACATGCCTCAGCAAACTAGAAATAGTATGGAAACATCAACAAGCGACCATATTGCTAGCACTAGCTCCGCTCGTCTGCTGTCGAGTACGAGTTCGCCAGTAACCAGTTTGCACGTGTCAGCGATGCAAATGGGCAATGTGGGTTCTTTACCAGTCGCTAACATCGTCAACAACGTGGTTCAAGCGCTTCAAGGTAGCTTGGAAGGCCTTGTTCAGCCAACCATTGATGCTTGTTTGTTCGTCACGTCAACCGCAGCAGTCACAAACAATGCTGGCAGTCCTTGTCTCATCCAGCAAATAACCTCGCTGAGAATGCTCCCCCTGACAATTTGGAATCGCAGACCGCAAATTACCAAACAGTTCATCCAGCTGATGGTATGGTTAGTGGTGTTAATGATCATTTATCTGACGCCAGAGGTAGGCTCGTTCCTTCTTTTAATATGTTTGCCACACCATCTACTTCATTGGTTTGGTTGGGTAACAGTTCCAGTTCTCCCTTCCTTGCGCTAGCCACAGGTAGTGTGCCATGTTATTGCAACCTTCAACGCTAGTAGTGGGATCTCGTTACCACAAGCGAGAGGTTTCTCATAATTTATTGTTGGCCCAGGTTATGCCCCAATACCTGGCAAAAACTGTTGGTGCTATTACTGCTGACCTCTGCACGAAAAAATAAAGCTTCAGCAACTGCCCATCCTAAGATCGTAGATACATACCTGCAGAACGAAGTCGCTTTGGGACGGGTAGCCGGTCCTTTCCTTAGCAGCCAGCTACCTAATTTGCATGTTACCAGTTTTGGCGTGATCCCCAAGGCTGGTCAACCAGGAAAGTGGCGTTTGATTTTGGATTTATCGTCGCCACATGGACGCAGTGTTAATGATGGTATTGACCCCGAACAATTCTCTCTGCAGTATATAAAATTCGACGAAGTCGTTGCCATGGTCACCAAATTAGGTTGGGGTGCACTCATGGCTAAGTTTGACGTCCAAAGCGCATATCGTAATGTCGCTGTACTGCCCTCTCAACATCATCTGCTTGGCATGAAGTGGCGGGGGAAGTTATACGTAGATCTTGCTCTCCCGTTCGGTTTATGTTCGGCACCATTCATTTTCAATTCCATTGCGGATGTGATAGAATGGATTATGCATAATAACTATGCATCACCGACCTTATGCACTACCTCGACGACTACATTACAGCCGGTCCACCTCATCTCCCTCAATGTGCGCATAATCTGGCGATGGCCTCCTCCACTTGTAGCCGTTTGGGCGTTCCTTTACATCCCGATAAAATGGACAGTCCCACTACTTGTTTAATTGTCTTGGGAATCGAATTAGATTCCATTCTGCAAAACATTCTGCCATGCCTGTAGAAAGTAGGAAGTTATGGAGCGACGCTACCTCCAAAGTCTAAAGGGCCAACTCCAAACCAAAATATACACTTGAATAACTTGTGTAATTCAAAATGTATGAGTTGAAATATGAATTGTGGAGTTACTGGCAAACTCCAAAAATCGTTTGCAGATAGGTATAACTCCAAATTTGGCAGCTAACTGAGCTAAGCATCATTTAGGTGCTAAGCATCTAAGCCTGGAGTTACTGGCTAACTCCAAAAATCATTTGGAGCTAAGAATAACTCCAAAAATCATGAAAAAACTAGGTACTTAAGCCTTGAGTTACTGTCTAACTCCAAAAAGTATTGTGTAGCGAGGCAAGCCAGCCTAGCCGCTAGGTATGTATAAAGCTTGAAGTTACTTGCTGTGTTGCTAATTCCAAAAATCATTTGGAGCTTGTTATCTAAGCCTGGAGTTACTGTCTAACTAGAATAACTGCAAGAATGCACTCTCAGAATGCACTTCTATACTTGGCACACTTGGCATTGTGTTGTCGTTCAGAGGCTAAATTTTGATCTGCAGTTGCGGCAAATGCAGCGCAACTGCCGATCGTACCTGCTACCCTTGTCATGCTCTGTTGATTGTGTGTAAGACGGGCTCTGGGTACGAGAATGTGGCATAGTCTAGCTCCATTTAAAGATTGGCTACCTCCACACCAATAAAATCTACAGGTATGCATTCTGCTGTCTATCGCCTACAAGGATTTTTTCCTGTTGTAATCGCTGCTCACTTGTGGGATGTCCAATGGGCCAATCGACACATGTGCTTTCAGTTAGATAATACTTCTGTAGTCCATATTTTGAACTTGCGCACTTCCCGTGACACTCACATAATGGCCTTGCTGCGTTCTCTGCTAGGGGCGGCGGCCCGTTATAATTTTACGTTTGCGGCACGTCATATCCCAGGCGTAGCTAATCCCATCGCTGATGCAATCTCTCGTTTCAATTGGTAGGTGTTTCGTCAGCTAGCCCCCAATTGCTCATCGCTACCAACACCTCTTCCAGCAATCCTATTGCATCGGCTGTCGCCAGGGACCTAGAAACCCAATGCCATAGTTTACTTTGTCACAGTTTAGCGTCGTCAACCCATAAAACCTACGCTTCTGCCCAACGGTCATTTCTGCAATTTTGTGAATCCGAAAATCACTTGAACTCGAATGGGTTGCCTCTCCTGTTGGGTGAGTGGACCCTTTGCCTTTTTGCTACGTGGTTGGTGAATAACTTGAAACCTGCATCCATAAAAGTCTACCTGTCATATCGAACATGGTTATCCCGATGCCTTAGTTGGCTGTCTGCATTAACAGCGTTGTGGTAAAGGGCATCAAACGTTGCAAAGGTGGCTCTCAAGATAAGCGTCTTTCAATTACACCGGACATTCTTAACTCGTAGACTTTGTGTCTACGATGACATTTTGTTCTGGGCCTCTTGTTGTCTGGCATATTTTGGTTTCTTGCAATCATCCGAGTTTACTGTATCTCATGGCACTTCCTATTCTCCATCGCTTCACTTATCCCATCATGTTGCCTTTGACCGAAGAGTCGATCCGTCTTGTCTTCAAGTGCATATCAAAGTATCTAAAACTGATCCCTTTCGGCAAGGGTGCATTCTGACTTTGGGTAAGGGTCATTCTCCCTTGTGTCCAGTTGAATCACTACTAGCTATTTGGAGATCCAGGGAGGTGCCGACATCCCTCAGTTTGTCAGTTTCAATGGCACCCCCTTGACATGTACAGTTTTTACAGAACGTCTTTGCCGACTGAACCAGGCGGGTATAACTGGTCATTTTGGCAGTCATAGTTTCCAGATTGGCGCTGCTACTACAGCAGGCCTGGCTGGCATTCCTGAGCATATGATCCAGACCTTAGGACGATGGAGTAGTTCAGCTTACCTGGCATACATACAAACGCCACATAATTTATTAGCTAGTGTAACTAGGGTGCTATGTTAAAATGAATATAAATATTATGCTAGTCTGGCTTGTGTTAGTTTGTTCTTAACCCAACCTTCTGTTAATCCCCTTTCCCCCATGGTAGGTGCTGGTGATACGTTGCAGTCAGTCCATGGAGTCAAGTGTCCATGACAATCTGCCAAGGCACTACCTCTTCAAGCGCATAAGGGTGGTTATGGACTTGAAGGGACTGACCGTTTTCTGGAGGTCTGCCTTGGCAGAATTGTCATGGCAAACTCCTATTGCTACTATAATTAGCCTTATTTTTCACCCTGCTCGGTTTTCTTTGTTCTTATCGGGGAATATATTCAATATTCCCCTCTAATCAATTTCCGTTTGATAATCCTCTCTAATATTCACCTGCAATTAATAATCTCCTCTAATATTCACCTGCAATTAGTCTTTGCAGCACAAAAAAAATGAGAAAAAAAAAACATAACAAAGGCAATATGGCATTAAGAATTATTTCTATTCTGACTCATTAATTTAACGCGACCTCGCAATGTGAAAAATAAGTACGTTATTTTGAGGCACCTCAACAAGGCTAGATCGCCGACTAGCCTTTGCCACCAAAGGCACCTACCTCCAAACTGGGATACTCTGCCGTTAACTATGATTAAAATTGTCGAAGTAGAAAAAGCATAAAGGCACTAGTCAGCTAATATGACCTGTATGGTCATTTGAGTGATTGAAATGAGTTAATTTAAATTATTATATATCAATAGTCAAAGTCGCATTTTTCTAGTGTTTTATTGGTTGAGAGCATATCATGTGAGAGTGACGAAATTAGGCTGTCTCCCTCGCAACAATGCATGCCTAGTACGTAATTAAAACTTTCGCTTTAAGTAACTGCAGTGTAGCCAGTGTTTAATATAACGTTTTAACAATAAAATATTTCATGTATTTACGTTCATTTGTTCTTTAATTTGTTGTTTCCTTGACTATTGATCTATAATAAAACACTTATTTACTGAGACCTTGGGAAAGCAGTGTGTTTTGTGGACCCTCGACCGTCAATGTTTTCCTCAGCTTCGCCTCGGGGAAACATCGACGGTCTCGGGTCCACAAAACACACCGTTTCCCTCGGTCTCAGTAAATAAGTGGTAATTATATCGAATGTCATGTTGAATCTTATGCATACTTCACAATTGTTGCTATTTCGTTGTATTATTAAAATTTCAATACTATTTATAATTCATATTTTGTTTGATATTTGGTGCTGTAGTTTTGAAGCTTTGCACAGAATATAATCAGTGCGAGCACAATGGCTCTGTTTCAGTTTGAGTATAAAAAAGTCAAGTATTTTGATAGCATGGGCTTTGAGGCTTTCACGATATATAAATATAAATGCCTGATAATTGATAGATAATCAGTGCTAGCACAACAGCTCCAAAATCACAACAAATAACACAATATAAGGTAAGTTAAAAACAGCAAAGCTTTACCTACCTCGATCTATTTTTCTAAGGTGCTCAATTATCTACATTTTCGGCAAATAATATTTCTTCGTGTTTCCTCAACGAAAACCCGGCATGAAATTCGCTCGTCGGAAAAACTCTGTATTTCTCGTCTTTTACTAATCTGCCATGTGACTGGTATGATCACCACCGCCACAACACAAAATTTAGAAGTTGCATGCCATATATGGCATGCAACAAAAACCCATCACAACATAATGACATTACTGTCATTACATATTAGGAAAGAAATATTATAATCAAAGGACAAAGACAAATCAGTTCCACCATCTATATTCCTTATGCATGAGAATATTTGATCAATTTTAAATTATTTGCTTAAGCCTTGGGAACGTTTAGTTGTCTGTATGTTTAAAATATAAAATAAACTAATATAAAATATAGTTTTCAATTACACAAGTTATTCAAGTGTATATTTTGGTTTGGAGTTAGCCCTTTAGACTTTGGAGGTATCATCACTCCATAACTTCCTACTTTCTACAGGCATCCTAGTGCTGCATTCATTTTCACTTTTGTGCACACTTGTCTCCTAACAGGCTAAATTGCAGAATGCTGTGCTGAGTGATTATATTACTACCTTGAAAAATAAGCAGAAACTGAACGTTTCAACCGAAGGCCCTTCGTCAAAAGTTAGTAGCAGGGATCGGGGAAAATGCATTGGCTTTTATACTAAGAGTATGAAAGCATCATGTGACAAAAAATAAACCAATTAGATGGATTTAATAATAACAAAGTGTAAACAAAATATGTAAATTGCATTACAGAATATAATATAATTAAAAAGATAAAGAGGAAGTTAAGACAATTACTACAAAAAATAATCAAAACAAAACACGAGTGGGAATAAGGTAACAGTAATAAATAGAAGTTGTCAATGTCTGCTATAATAGACAGGCAAACACAGATGGCATCATAGACAAAACAGAAGACATGTCTTCTGGATTGTCTATGATGGCATTAAACATAAGAAAAGCATTCATTAATACCTGAAGGGTGAACAGTGCCAAGTTTGGATATGAGGCGCATTTCATGTTGTTTGCGGCTATCATTGCTTCCAGAAATGGGACAGAGGGTTCGAATTAACATATCTGAAACACTGATTGCCATCATTAAAATGTCTGGCAACAGGTTGGTTAGCATCATTGTCAATAACTGCATGCCGATGCTCACCAAACCTTGTCCTTAAACATCTTCCAGTGTCCCCAATGTAAAGCATGCCACATCTGCTGCAAGAGATGCAGTAGATGAGATGGGAGGAGGTGCACGTGAAATGGTGCTTGATGTGAAATTCAGATTTAGGTGCCGAAACAGTAGTGGTGGAATCTAGAAAAATCACAGGTTTTACATTTCGACGACAGGCAAGGAAAAGTGCCTTTCTGTGACGTCGAAGCCTGTGTTAGGGAGCTATGCGTTAGGGGCTTCATGCATGTGGTGTTTGTTTAGCTGATGCATTTGAATCTAATTTTCATGTAAGCTAAATTAGTCTACTGGTTGCTGTTGCACACCACCTAAAATGATGTTATAGACATCCAATATAACTTTGTGTAAATAAAGTTGTAGTTAAATTAAATTTTTGCATGTAATGGTTGTCATTAGTATTATGTGGGAAACACCTGGTCAACTGTTACCTGAACCCATTAAGCAAAAATGCACCCTACTTTATTCTTTTACTCTGTCTAACGCCAGACAATTTTACTTGTCTAGGGGAGAGACTCGCACTCTAATGGGTTAATGCTAACATTTTCCATTTTTGATATTGGAACACAATATATTCAAGTCCTCATACTGTAGTCGAATTTGAAATGTTACATCCCTATAGTCTTGTTTAATTTCACACCTTCAAGTTGTATATTCACCCCAATGTACATGCAGTGGCCCCCCTGGCATATGGCCAATGCAGTTCGATGTGGGACACAATGGAAACAGACAGACATCTTGCATACAAAATCTGTTCCCAGATCACTCAAATATTCAGATCCCTCAAAATATTGATAATTTCCTACAGTCGTGCCAATAGAAGCGTTCCGAAAAATGTTGACCAATTCATTTCCTGACTTGAAGGAATACCTCTGAACAAGTTCCTTAAAAAGTTCCTAACTTCCTGTTTAATTGACCAATCACATTGCACAAAAATAAAATATAAAATTTGATTGGTCAATGAAACAGGAAGTTAGGAACTTTTTAAGGAACTTATCCAATTGTTGAGGAATTGTTCAGAGGTGTTCCTTCAAGTTAGGAAATGAATTGGTCAACATTTTTTGGAACACTTCTATTGGCACAACTGTAAAAATGTTGACAACTTCCTGGTATTTGCTTTAAATTGCCCAATCATGTTTTGCTTAGTAATTCAATAACCAATAGGATGAACACAGGAAGTTGACTGTCGGTTGAATTGGCAACCACTTGAGGAACTCGTCAAATGAATTAGCAAAAGTTAGGAAATGAACTGATCATCATTTTTCTATTGCCACAACTGTAATATTACATACTGAAAGTAGAAAATAAAAATGTTTCTTACCATTTGGCTCTACCATGGATGTGATAAGTTCATCCTCCTGACCAGGTGTACCAGCTACACCTCCCTATAAATTACAAATAATTATTGTGAACAAATAATTATGGAGTAATTAACAGTTATTGAAGAAGGTCGAGCATGATATGTAGAGTTATCATGTGCCAGAATTTTGTGCTATGAGGTTTGTCATTGATATATTATTTTTCATATCATTGTTA